CCGTGACGGGCGTGAACGTGATAGACGCGATAATCGTGATAATTATCGTGACAACTACGATAATGAGAATCGTGATAATCGTCGTCGTGGAGGAGGTCGCGGTGGTAATTTGGTCAACCTTGACGATCAAAGCGCTTTTCCAAGTCTTGGTGCTGCATAGTTTTTTTATTATACACCAAGCGGGAAATTTTTTAAATGAACAATTATCAAGATTCCCCAAATCTATAATGGGACAATATATTTCTTTTTATTTTCATTCTGTTGTTTATGTAGGGTTCAAGGCGTTATATGTTTACACATGTGTCTTTATTCAATTAGCAAAATAATGTCGCATTGAATATAGTATATCATGAAAAAAAAACATCTTGTATATTTTATCAGATCATAACCAGAGCTGTTCATAATTTGCTTATTTATATGATCATTTAAACACCGATTTTTCGGCGGGTAATGAAGTTTTTGTGATCATTATAATTTCTTTTGAGTTTTTGCTTCAATAATTCGAGTTTGTTCATTAAGTTAAAAAAAAAAAAAAATTTTATATAATCAAAGTTTTACGCATAAAGTTTTCCAAATGTGTGGCACAGTCATCATCCTATTTTGGACTAACCAACCTTATGATAAGTGATTGTGTCATCCCATGCCTTTAAAAATTTCGACACGTTCCTGTATTCTTAATTGGCAATATTAAAATTTAGAAGACTTGATTAAGGCTATTCGAACCTGTTTTGTCATGGCTGAGGTTTCGCTATTTCAATATCATTTAGTAAACAAGCATTGGAACAGAGCAGCAAGGACTGACGAAATATCCAAAAAGATAGATGCGTTTTTTGCACCTTCACATTTCTTCAATAAATATACAACGCTCGAATTTTTTCTTGGTAAGTTATGAATGTGATCAACAAGTCAAAAAGTATTATAATAAATTATTTAAGCACCTTAAAATATCTGCTCTGCTTCATACTTGAGTATGTTGCATTTTTGAATCGAATGTTATTGCTACCCACATTACCCGAATGTAATAATAACATTGCTTCCTTTTCCTACAATTATGACGCATGATTAGGTACTAGCAATGAAGACGAGCGTCGTCACTTGTTGCTTTCTGAAGACTCTGTGAGAATTATTC